TTTTTTTGGCTAATTTACACATACACTCCACCTTCCATAAGTTTTTGTAAATATACGAACCGTTCACAATTATTAGTAGGAATACGATATTAAAGAGAATTAATTATGATTATGTTGATACTATATCCAATCCCAAATTAAACGCTCTCTCTCCAATCAAAATGTAACTCATGATATTTTTATATAATTAAACAAAAATCTATATATGGGATGGAAAAATGAGTTTCATAATATCAGTTTTTGCAGGAGGAATTAAACAGACGAGCTGAAAAATATATTTTTTTAACTATCAAAACAGTATGATCAACTTTATGTTTCTTTTGTTATATATTCATATACAAAGAGAATAATATTTTAATGTGTCGTTGATATTATACCAAGATAAACAAACAGAATATATACATAACATAAACATAAAATCAATCACTATTGATATTATACCAATATAAACAAAAACAGAAAATATACATAACATAAACAAAATCAGTTATTATTGATATTATACCAAGATAAACAGAAAGAGAACATATACATAACATAAACACAAAATCAATTACTATTGATATTATACAAAGATAAACAGAAACAGAACATATACATAACATAAACACAAAATCAATTACTATTGATATTATACAAAGATAAACAGAAACAGAACATATACATAACATAAACACAAAAATAACATAAACAGAACATACACATAACATATACATAGTACACAACATACACAGTACATACGCATAACATATACACAACATACACAGTATATGCACCGCCCTATTTTTTAAGGTGTTCGCGTGAAATTTTTTTATTGTTGTCGCTGGGTCCGACTGAAATTGGCCCGAATCGGATGTAGAATCGGCCTTTTCATGTCTTTTTTTCTGGGTGATATCCGAGTGTCCTTCGATTTCATTTTTTGGTCGAAGTGCAACTTTTTTTGGACCAATCTAAATTTTCACGGAGGCCGGAATCTTGTACGAGTTCTTGACCTTGGCTCTCTTTTTCGATCAGACGAGTCTCTTCAATTGGACGAACAAGATTTCTGAAAGTTTGTTGGGAGCGATTTCACATAGTTATCCCCCACGAGCCTCTTCAATTCGCTGATCTGACGAGCCTATTCAAACTTCGAATCTGACGAGTCTCTTCAATTCGCCGTCTTCCACTGATCAGAAAAAAACACACATAGAAGGAGAGAGAAAAAAACGCAAAGAGAGAGAGAGGAAGGAGAAGAATATGAAATTGTCTCTTCCTATAAAATAGCACTAAATCCTCCATTCACCATAAATACCTCAACCTCTAACTTAATAAAATATTGTGAAAAATAGGAGATCGTTTCTTCCCTTACTTTCATGTACACAATATATACTAGAATTCGTAAGATTGCAAATAAAATTCATGGCTTCGTTTTAATTAAATATAAGACCCATATGGTCGTAGGCTAAGTAATTTTCTCTTTTTTTTTTGGACAAGTAAAGAATTGGGCTTCTATATTACAATATACAACATACAAATACAAAGCCCAAAGGCATGGAGAAAGGATGAACATCAACTACTGAAATGAATTAATGAAGTTTAATAATTAGTTACTATATTACTAATATAAATATAATAATAATAATGTATTATATATGTGTATAACATTTTGTACAAACTAATTAAAATGGGACAAACGGGACAGTTCATGACAAAAATATTCAAAACCGATACCGACATTGTTTAAAACGGTTTGGGACCGGGAACGGGACAAA